TTAATCCGGTAATTACCTTTTTACTGCTTTAACGTGAAGTGGCCCGTCGTATCTGTCCCGGTAATCATCCAAACCATTTTTCATGTCGTAACAAACCTTTTAGGTCTGTTGTGGTTTTATCAATAGACAGTTCCATCCATCCCATGAATGGCAGAGTGTAGAACTTGACATTCTAAGTTTGAGCTCGAGAATTTAAGAGAATGAGTGTTTGTTTGTTTGATCGGGAATAGAAAGTTGAGGTCCGAAATTAGTCGCGAAGTGATTGGATATGACATTCCTGGTAGGTAAGTGGAAAAACATATCTTCGTTTAGCAGCCAAATGTATTTTGGTGGTCGAAAGATATGGGCATGTTATGTTTCTGATTTAATCAGTATAGTGCTATCTGCAGATTTGTCCCTACTAGCCGGTCGAATTAGAATTTGAACGTAAAAAAATAAAGAATGATAAATATAGAATGATACTATCAAAAAAGTAACTAGAAAGAAGTGACACTAAGTTGGAAAATTGCAAATATGTTGCAAAATTACGTGTGTTTTCACTATTTTTACTGCCCATGAAATTCTAGACGACGTATCGGAAAATTGGTTATTTTATATTGTAGGCAATTAGATTACCTACAATTTAAGGTACCTGAAGTCACTTTTCATCTATTAGTTAACTGTAAAATAAGAGTCGAACGCGGAAAAATCAGTTTTCCAAAATTATTGCCAAAAAACTATTTATCTTGATGAAAGCTATGGAAAAGACGCACGCTCCAATGATCAACATGTGTACCAAATCCGATTTATTGATCGTGAAATTGTTGCTCGCGGTATTTGTTAATTAATTTCGACGTTTTTTTTTGCAACTAATTGTTTAATTACTAAACGTTAATTTTAGAATTTAATATAATAGATATGGGTTCTAATTGATCCAAAGAAACGTATCGAAAAAGAAAATTTTCAAAAAAGTTGAAATTAAATTGCTCTTTACAACTAACGAAGTAGGATGCGCAAAACAGCGTTGTAAATAAATTTTCTCAGGGTCAGGCAAAAGCCGCTCGGCAATTCGCTCTTTTTTCATGCATATAGAGTTTTACATTGATAATAAATGCGTTAATATCAGCCTGTATAAATTATGACTTTATTGTTGTTAATTCTCGAACGATAACAGTATTTTCTCACGAATATTCCCCGAATGGATTTAATTCACTATGTACCTGATACGATATCAATTTATTGATAGATAAATTAAGTGTTTCAGAATTGTTAATTATTATAAAAATACTATACAATATTTTATTATTTGATTTTGTCTTCATTTTGTCTACAGGTAGATTTTGCATTGTGCTTCTTATTTATTTATTATTCAAATAGGCTTATCATCGACTGAGATCGCGTATAATGACATCAGAATGATGGATCGGCGATGCAAATCAACACTTGTCCCATCGATTCGCCTAGTACAGTGCAAACAATAATTTATTTTCATAATGATCCGAACGACTGTTTACTGTCGAATCCGTTCGAGCACTTGCTTTCCGATCTGATTACTTTTTATGAAGTCCACAATGATAAGTATTATAAACAAACTTGTTGATTTTGTCAGATTAACGTAGATTAATTCTTAAGACGGATTAAGTAATTAGAATTTAATGGTAAACTTGAAAATTATTTCTAGTTATTAGCCCTCATCTTTGTACAACGTTTAGAAGAAAATGTTCAAATTAACCCAATCTGTGCTGTTTTGAGGTCATTTTTTTAAAGTAACTTTTAATGAATCCGTAACATTTGACCTACCACTCCCGTTTTGCGTTTCGAGACGTCACGTTTTTGTAGCCCCAGCTTTCTGTGACACTTACTTTTTACAAGTCATCGAATTTGAATATCTCGCAATGTGATTACTAAGTTTCGCCACAACGCCAAAGGACTTACCCAAAAGAACTACAACCTCTCGGTCGTACTCTTAAAATCAAATAAATGTGTCACTTATCGGGAGAAAGCGTCTTCCACTCGCCGCGAAAATTACAAAACAGACGAAATCCACTTAGGCGTTTGGCAAATAGCCTTTTAGGACCTTATTATTGTAAAGATGTTGCGCCGCATTGTTGTTGAAATAAAATTTATACGGACTTGCATTCGCTTTGTAAAAATAACAACGTAGCAGGATGTGGTTATAATGCACTATGCAGTAAAACTTTGTACTTGATTAATTCTCATTATTTTCACGTTGGAAATACGAGGAAGAACGCTAGAAAAATTGAATCGTTAACTACGTTTCCTAGTAAATTAAATATGCACTCGTACTATCGTGTAGTGGTTACGCAAACTGTTCATAAGGTTTTCAAGCCATAATATTCATTAAAGAAAGGTGACTTAAGCGTAGGATCCATACAGGGTGTCTGTGTACATAGAGCCACCACAGTTTTTTACGATCAAAATAAACAGATAGATAAACTTACCTCTAATTAAACTGGAAGAAGAATTGCTGGAAACGATGGGAGAAAACCAGTGCAGATTAGTAGAGAAACATAGTCTACATTTCCCAAAAATTTTCACCCAGTTCAATAACTCCTACTGCCCGTCTTCAATTCTCGCAGATCGTCAGTCAGTATAGAGCTGGAAATATGAACCTCCGTAAGAAAATTATTTTGACGACAAATCGTGTTTTACTAAACGTAAGATAATGAATCTCCACAATCAGCATTTACGCGGTGAAAATCCTGTCGTTATGGAAAGACATTTTCAGCATAAATTTTTAGTGTAAACATGTGGATTGGTTTCATCAGTAACTTTATGCTTGGTCTCGATGGTAAAATACTCTACCGAAATTCTTTGTTAATCTAACGGTTCATCTACGTAATCACAAGTATCGTCTATAAAAATGTTTAGAAGAGGGAAAATTTGTAAGAACTTTGTCACCCTCAAGAAAAAAATAGAAGGTATAGTATGACCCCCGACAAAATTATTATGAGATAAGTTCAAGGGGGGGGGGATTTATTACATCATCACAGGGTGTTTTCAAAAGAATTATGGACCAAATTTGACTTTGTCATGATCGACAATAAAATAATTAATTGTACTATATTTCATTATAACAAAAATCCACTTTTAAAAATGTCGAATACACTAAAAAAAGAAAACATTAAATCAACAGTACATTTATCTGCACATATGTATTTCTATTCAAATATAAGCTTGAGTTAAGCAATTTTTCTTATGTTAAGACTTATTTACTTCAAGATTTATAATAAGATTATAATAAATGTATATACAGAGTGTTGTAAAATGTTGTTCAGAGAATTCTAGAGCAGATTCTACATCCAAAAACACGAAAAAAATCCTAGGTATATCCGCAAATGCTTCGTTTTCAAAATAGAGGATGTCAAAAAAAAAGAAAAACTATTATTGATAATTTCTAAATTAAATTTGGGTATTTATTTCTCCATAGTGACAGCCCATGTTATTTTTCAGGGACAGTCACCAACTAAGTTTTAGCATGATTTTAAAAAATCTTCAATAGCTCGAAAGCCGCTCGCTAAATGACAAATGTGCAAACGGGCTATTTTGCTCTAAAATAAAGTAAAAAACCAGTGGCGTAGATTTTCTGGTCCAAAATCAATAGGTACTCCCCCTGATGGGTCTGAGGCGCAATCGATTATACCAAATTATAACCCATGAAAGTATTGACCCATGTTGGGATTATGGGTAGAACTAAAACACTTTTAATAATTAAAAGATATTGTTTATTCACTTATTCAGAGGGCACATCTATTCGGTATCAAATCAGATTACAAACTCAAAGTCTTTCACAAGCCCGGTACTACAATATACCTCCGTATGTTTATAAGCATTTTTTAATTTATGGGCAAAGGGCTCTTGAACCTTCAGCTGATAAATATATAAACACATAAAAAGTAGGCATTAGTATCTAAGGATGGGAATGTTTTTGTTTACGTAACTTGAGTATCTTTCAACAACCCAAATTTAAACGATTTCCAGTGAAAAATTTAGAAATTATCAATAAAAAACATATTTTTTTATTTTTTGACACCCTCTATTTCGAAAACGAAACATTTGCGGACCTACGTTTATAGGAATTTTTTCGTATATTTGGTTGTAGAATCTGCTCTAGAATTCTCTGAACAACATTGTGCAACACTCTGTATAGACACAAATAAATACTGTATTTGAATATTGTCCTAAATTGTATCGATATTTTCAGACTTTTTTCCAAAATTGGATAAGGGAGATATACCTCTTTAAAGGGAGAAGATATCATGTGTTTTACGGTATCTTCAAAGTCCTTTGAGATATTTTATTAATATTTTAAATAAATATGTAGATTAGACTTAATACATAAGAACACTAATTTATGTTTTAAATAAACCGAGAAATGAACTTAAATATTCGAAAACCTCCACCACCACCGTCGATCTTTTATCTCGCTTCGAACAAACAAAACGGCAACAACAAAAGCATACGCAGCATTCAAGGATCATTCGCTATTGAATCAATAATCAGCCTCATTGTTATCATCGGAAGGTCCGTTCCTTTCGTTGCTGCGGGTATAAAGTGTCGTTGTTTTACGATCGACTTGTTTATGCGGCGGGTCGAAGGTCCGTGGCCTACTAGTTTTAATGAGACGAGAATTAAGTGCCGAGGTGTCAGTCATTGTCTGGCTCACTAGATGATCGTGATAGATGCTGTTTCGTTTATCTAAAAATGAAATCTAAAAAGACTTTCATTCGCGGCTGCTTCGCTGGGTGATGTGATCTAAGCAGGCGATGTATACGTATGTAAATTTAGCCTCCAATTTAACACTAACACGTGGTAACACAGGAAAAGAAATGTCTTCAGATTTAGCCTGTATTCATCCTTGAATTTTCACTTCCCTAAAGGTAGGGACATGAAGGCCAATATTTTCATGTTAGTATACGAAACGTGGATATAAAACAGATATTAGTTTTTGATCGAGAAAATCGCAAAGAATGAATGTTCAGTGGCGTTTCTTGTTGCAGGCAAACCCTGGAGAACGTACTATCGAAGAGCAAGAGCCAAGGCGCTTTCGGTAATGAGACCTCGGAGTCGTTGCCCAAGAAGACGGTCAACATACGACGTTCCCATACCCAAAACGAGATGCCTCGGTCCATAGCCGATCTGAGGGCGAAGCTGCAGGAGCGAGGGGAGTCCGAATGGAGGAAGAGGATACCCCAGAGCAACAACGCCACCGACGAACTTAAGTTGTTGAAGGAGAAAAATAGATACAACGTGAGTAAATTTGTTATCTGATTGCTCAACTTTATCCTACTGTTATGGTGTGGAGGTAATTCTATAATAAAGGTATGGTCAAATAACTAGGAATATCTAGACGGGTTACCTACAAATTTTATCCACGAAAACTCAGTATTCAACAGCGGAAGTAAAAATAATAGCAATTTGTTATAATATAAACTGGTTTTCGAAACAAAAACATTTATTTTCCAGTGACATGCCATAATTTATTTCCTCGAATTCAAATTTCAAAAGTATTACTTTAAAATATCTTCATTCCTTCACATAACTTTTTGAAAAGACCTCTTTCAGTTTTTTAATTGTATTTAGAGAATTGAATTTCCCATCGAAATGGCTTATATAAAAAATGTAAGAGGAAAATTTTACGGAAAAAATCGTTAATAAACAATTTAACAAAAGGCAAAAAATTAGATTTTTAATTTTTTTTTTACTTTTTTGACTATTTTTTTTTAGTAGAAAGTAGACAAAAAAAATGCTTTACAAAAAAAACCAAATGAGATTCCCTTCAAAATGATGCGTTTTCAAAAGTTTTTGGACTAATATTGACATGGCCTATTTAAAAAATTTAAGAGGAAAATTTTATGGAAAAAATCGTTAATAAACAATTTAAAAAAAGGCAAAAAATTAGATTTTTATTTTTTTTTACTTTTGACTATTTTTTTTTAGTAGAAAGTAGGCAAAGCAAAAAAATTGCTTTACAAAAAAACCAAACGAGATTCCCTTCAAAATGATGCGTTTTCAAAAGTTTTTGGACTAATATTGACATGGCCTATTTAAAAAATTTAAGAGGAAAATTTTATGGAAAAAATCGTTAATAAACAATTTAAAAAAGGCAAAAAATTAGATTTTATAATTTTTTTTTACTTTTTTGACTATTTTTTTTAGTCGAAAGTAGACAAAAAATTGCTTTACAAAAATGATGCGTTTTCAAAAGTTTTTGGACTAATATTGACAGTTCTAACCGGTCAAACTTAAATATTTTTTTTTCGTCGTTTTTAACATAATAATGATTATAATTCATTTCACAAATCTAAATGTTTTTAAATTTTAAACAATGTTAAGTGTAATTAATAAGTAGCTTTTAAATTAAATCATTTATATATCTACATATTATTATAAATCTCCTTATTTGAGATAGTAAAAAATAAATATAGATTGATAAACTGTAATTTCATTTGAAAAATCTCTCATAGTTTCATACAGTTGTGAAAATCTTTATTTATTATTAACAAATAAAACTTTTGAAATAATTTTTATTAAGTAAGAACCAACTCGTTGTAAAAATAATAAGAATTATAATCATTATTATGTTAAAAACGACGAAAATCTAAAAAATATTTGAGTTTGACCGGTCATTTCTCACAATCAGTCAATATTAGCCAAAAAACTTTTGAAAACGCATCATTTTGAAGGGAATCTCATCTACTTTTTTTCTAATGTAATATTCTTTGCCTACTTCTACTAAAATAAAAAATTAGTCAAAAAAGTAAAAACAATAAAAAAATTTAATTTTTTGTTTCGTTTATTAACGATTTTTTGCATAAAATTTTTCGTTTTAATTTTTTAAATAAGCCAGTTTGATGGGAAATACAATTCTCTACAAAATGTTTCCTATGAACTATACCGAAATTATGCTTCGTTTTCGTGCTATATTTAATAAAACTGCAAAAGTGCATTTTCACCCCTATCTTCAATTTCAACCCTCTAATTTAATAGCACCCCACGGTATTTTCATTTCGTCTCATGATGATTTCTTTGCCTGTGGTGTAAAATTTAACAAGAAGACACAATATTTGACTACTATTGTTTGTCTTTAGCTAGAAATAACAGAAACAAAACAGTGGTTTAGTTTTGAATATTCAATTGAACTTTTTTGTAGGAGATACAAAAACAGAGGATTCGAAAAATCCCAGAGCTCGTTTAGTTTCCCATGACCTTATTTGATTTTAGTAGTCTCCTTGTCTATTTACTGTTATACTTAGAAAAAATGGTATGAAACATTTTATTTCCGATTGTAAAGCAATAGTTGGACAAACAACAACAGAACGTTGGGTTTGGCAGATACAAAATTAGAACACCACTGAACATTTTTACTTATTTGGATAGAAATGGCTCTTATTATCAAAAACAGGATTATTTTTTTCTAAGTACTATTAAAATGACAATGATAAAAGTAAAGAAGATAAGGGGATATAATACTGCGAGAATATCCCCTTACAATACCTGTTAAAACAACACATTATGCTGATTCCGTGAAATAAGAAATATACACGACATGCAACAGCAATGAAAATTATTACCATTCATTTTATGTCGCGTGAATGACATCATCATACGCTGTGCGTTATAAGTCAATCGATATTTACTATTTATTTGTCAATAAACACACTACTCGCGGTTTGACATTCAAAATAGATGTCGGTTCGAGTTCCCGAGCCTATTCCTACAAAGCTCACTGTTTGATATTCGAATTCGTGGTTGCACACTTGTGTAAATATTTGTTCTTATTCGAATGTGAGGATTGGGGCATAAGTGGTTAGGTCGTAAAAGTTAACTGGTTTCCTTCACTCCCTCGCTATTTAAGGATGCTTTGACTTTTTGAACTTGCGTCATTAGTGAATGAAGATGTCTTGTGAAACACGCCTTAAAGGAAAATAAACCAGAATGCCATATAAAGAAACATAGGACGAAAGAGAGGCAAAAAATATTTTAGTAGTATCTCAGTAAAATTTAAAACACATTTTATTGTTTATAAATTAGTTTAGAACAACATTAATACACAATTTTCGTACCTACTTCGGTTTTTTTGTCAATTTGTAGGCCAGGAAATATAAAGTTGGACGCGACTTTTTGTTTCGGCAAGCTGAATTTATCACTATAGATGCTAAATATTATGTACAATAACATATTAGTTTCCACAGTCATAAAAATGGGGGGAAGATTGTTTACAGGGTGGTTAATTGTATAATTTTTACGTAAATTCACGTTTTTCGCTTATAACTTTTTTCCGTT